CAACAATACATTTTAAATTCAACGATTTTTCAATAATACAAGTTTCTTGTTCAATTTTTCGATGATCTAGAACAACGAGTAATACTTTTTAAACAGTATGCTCAGTCTCTGACTTGTTCGATTTATAAAATGTTCTCTTCATTATTCTTCAAGTGCAGTTCAACTCATTCAAGAATTATTACCAATGGCAACTGAAGATGTATCGAAAAGTTTATTGAATGAAATTGAAACCATTGATGATGATACGTTAAAAAATCATCCAGCAGTGAGCGATATGGTAACAATTTTGACAATGTTTGCTGCACAATTGAAAGAAAAGAAAAACGTACAAGGTTTTGAGCCGGTAAATAAGACGTTTGAGAGGTGGGAACTTTGTTTAAAAGTATTACTCGTTGTTCTAGATCATCGAAAAATTGAACAAGAAACTTGTATTATTGAAAAATCGTTGAATTTAAAATGTATTGTTGTCGTTAGTTCCGTTTTTCTAACTCATCACTTGTTAATGATGAATTATTTAAGAAAAAATAAAGATGATTAAACTAAACCGGACTCGCTTAAAAACCAAGTTTTGTAATAAAAATTCTGTATAGCAATGACTGTATAATGTTTATATGCAAGGACTCACAAATAAAAAGTTACTGGTTTTTTCATATCAAAATTTGGCGCCTTTTCTCCCAGAAGGTTGCCAACGTGAAACCTGCGGAATCTTGTAGTTGATGGTCAATTTAGTAGTACGCCATACTTATCTCAAATGGATCCTTTCGATTTTGAAGGGAAAAAATTCCAGAAAGATTCGTGCAGGATCCGAACTTGTGACCAAAAGAATACGCTATATTTCATTTCTTAATACTCTTAACGGACTGAACTACGAACGCACATACATTAACTGTTGTTTTGCGAACCATAGATAAAAACAGAACGGAAAAGGTTTCATCAACTGAGCCATCTCTAAACGATGAAACAAATTCCAACTGGTCTTACTCTAACTAAGAATAAAAATGAAGTATTTGGTATTGGTAAAAATGCACGTACTAACGTGTTCTAAGTCTCCAGACTTAAGACATCAAGTCCCACGTATAGCGTTACACAGAAAACGCGCCCCAGTGGATGAATATTCCAATCTTGATAGCGAATAACATGAGAATGTAGAACAATGTCACTCATTTATTTGAGTCACTTACTTTAGCAGCATTATACCACTGAGGTAACGGGTGTTTGGCTAATGAATTCCAGTTTGATTCATATTGAGAAAAAATCGTGAAAAAATGCAGTGCAAGAAAGAGAAAAGTATTCTCACAATAATAGGAGTGAATGAGCGATCCAATAGTATTGCCTATCATGTAGCAAGTGGCAGCAGAAAACTTTTCAGGCTTAAATTTCAAGCCTTGAATACTGGTTAGTAACTGATGTCTATACTATCAGTTGAGACGTTTAGTAGAGTATTGAAAATAATTTGATTGCAAATATAGTCACAGTGGTCAGTGTCTAGGGACTAGCAAAATTGCGAATTGGACGCAAAGTGAATTCGACTGTTTGTTTGTAAAACCCCTTGTTGCATTGAATACACTATTAATATACTGCAATTTCTGAATAATTCCTAGACTGGATCTGTCGTACAAATACTTTTTGTACAAAAAAAAGCATATTGATTTAAACGGTAGAATAGAGTGTCCTGTACAAGATCCGCGGAATTTACTTTGCTCATTTGGCAAAGCTCGAGCTACAACTTTCCCTAACACTTTTTCAAAAAAAGTTTAACGTCGGACACCAATCACATTTTTAAAAGCAGTTATGCAGAAAGAGGTTTTTTTCTCTTCTTCAAGCAGTATTATTCGGCTAGTTTATTCTGCACATCTTCAGTCAAATATACCATTGTCTGGTTCTCCAATTGCCATTCTGAGTGTGATGTAATCTTGTACGTCAGTCTCAAAATCTGTTTCTAAACCACTTAGATGAATATAATCGTTTAGCCAAATATTGAATGCTTTCAACTGTAACTGATTACTGATATCATCAATACGTGACACTTTCAGGTGTTCTCTCATTCTTCTCAACAATAACGACAGAATAATATACATATCGTCGAGTCTAGCAAAATGAAGCCATAGACAGTCAATTCTCACAAATATATCTGCTAATATTGTTAACAATTTAATATTAACCGAGCCAATATTACATAAATATAGAGCTGTCACGGATCTACCTAGACAGGAGCATAGTTCTTCGTTCGAAAAGTCACATGTCATTGCTAGTAGGTGCTCAAATGACAAGCTTAGCCATTCTATGTTTTTCGCTCCATATGTAACGACTAATCCATGCAACATACTCACCGGATGATTACTGTGTAAATCAAACGTGAGACTAGTCAATTTTGACAGATCGATAACATTGGATAATTTTTCCATGAATAGCGAAATTTCTCGATCATTCAGTTCTTCTGCATGAGAGTGAAATTTTAAATAACTAACATTGGGATACTGACGGTCGAAATAATTTAAGCTGATCGGCATAAGAGAATTAACCTTATTAAACACCTGAGTATTGGTAACTGATACAATGGTGTTAAGATCGAAATTGCTTGTTAATGGCAACTCATAAATTTCGCACGGATGTGTGTACACATAGAGTTTATTGAGATGACCTATTCGATGCCAGTCAGTTGTAACAAACCATTTATGATCGAGCCAAAACTTTGTTTTGAATGCGTCACACATAGTCTCAAGAGGGATATAGTCGATGGTTCTCATGGGTATATCGATAATGAACTTAAATTCGTCTAACATCGGCAATAAAGTCGATCTGACATTTTTTAACTGAATTGTAAATATTCATCTGTAATATTAGATGAAAACAATCTGAAAACCGCACTTTTTCTAAAACTCGCTTTTCGCTAGATTTTTGAGTTCTTTCTCAGAACAAACTTTGCCACTAGATTCAGCATGGTCGATGACATGTTTTCCCGTATATCCATGCGCATGCCACACAGATATTTTTCTCTTCACCACACACATCTCATCTCACTTCAGTCACTCACTCAGACCCTTTTTTTTGCCAGTCAGCTAAAAACGGAATTTTCAAGATATAATCATAATCAATTTCATCATGAATATTGTTTTCCAATTAATCAAACGGTCAATACTATTCTTGTCGATGCACATTACTACGAAAAATTCGTGGAAGAGTCGAGTTCTGTTCGCGATAATGTCGGTCGCTCAAACGTCGGTTGACGATATCCCATAGAACTGAATATATCTAGAGTATCTTCTATCTAGGATATATCGTGATATGCGATAACTTGATCTGGTGTTAGGTGTTAGGTGATCTCGGATAACCTCCAAAGTAAATGGAAACATAGGTTATCGACCATACTGAATCTTGTGGCAATGTAATTTTCGAGGAAAATATGGATAAACCTAGTGAAACCGAGTTTTGAGGAAAACCCACCAATTCGGCTATCAATATACAAAAATAAAATACGCCAGTCTCCCTTAAAACCCACACATACTGCTTAGAACTCTCAGAAAATACTTACTTTTCCTTGATTTACATGCTGATAGAGTTAGAAAAGTAAAAGTATCTATTTTCAACCAGCCTGCCCTTCTGATCATATGCTGAGAGTTTCAAGCGATTTGGATGGTTTTTTGAGGGAGACTGGCGTATTTCGCTTTTGTATATTGATCCCTAGTAAAAATCTTGGACACTTCTTAAAATTATCTTATTAAGATCTTATCCTTTAAGATTTTGATAAGATAATCTCCGATCTTATCGTTTAAGATCTTAATAACATTTAATGACTCCGCTTTCATTCACCCTTTTGTTTTGCTCACATTCATCTATATAAGTGACCGAAAATATGAGTGATTAGAAAAATATCTGTGTGGCATGCGCATGAATATACGGGAAAACAACTTTCTCCCTTCTCTAAGCCAAATAATCCTGTCTCGTGAACTAATTTCCCCTCAAATTTTTGAAACTTTATAGTGCAATGAGCGAACACATACAGTAATAAGAGCAGAAAAAGACCTGTACATGTTACAGATAAATGTTCTCTTTTCCAGCCCGTTTTCACAGGAGGTCGCGCATGTGTCTCTCTTGTCTGTGCTTTGCATCCTATGAGAGAAAAAACAGAGTTTGTTGAAGAGAGAATACAGCGTTTTGACACTGCACAATACTGAGAGAGGGAGCAGAACAATCTAAATCATTATTAAAACCATTGAATCCTCTACTTCTTTCTGCATAGCCTAGTAACAAAAGTTCTAACTTTGTTTTCAATACGGTTACAATATTCACCCCTCTGTAGGTATGCACCGATTTCGACTAAAAATCGAATAATCCAAAATGTCCTACTCTAAGTCCAAAACGAAATTTTTCTTATGGTAAAATACTAACGAGGGAGGTCTACCAATTTATAAATCGTTTTTCAGTCAAAACCTTAATTTTTGAACCAATATTGAAAGTAGTACAGCACAAGGTATTATAGTATCACGGTGAAGAAAAGGAAGAGACATAAACTTAAAACTGTAGTTACGTTTTCGGGACGTTTTCTAGTTATTAGATTTGTTTTGAACATTGAAGATGACTCTTTGTTTCGAAAGTTTATGATCGTACAAAAAGCTGAACCAATAAAAAAACATTTAAGAAAATCGAATTTGCTTGGTTCCTCACTTTCGGTGTGCCAATTCTCTCAGGTCGGATCTCAGACTAGAAAAACATCGTAGTAAAGATATAGGTCGTCTATCTTTTTGTAGTAGTTTTCGTAGAAGGTCGCGTATATTTGTCCCTTCTCTGTGCTTTCCATGCGATGACTGTATGAAAAGAAAACAACGTTTATTGAAGCGAAGAAATGGCGTATGAATAGAATAATCGTTGTCGCAGTTAGCACAAATTACCACAAATACACCTGCGAGGAGTTATGGGTTTTCCCACAACGCCTGGTTTTTCTAGTATTTTCTATTTTTCTCGCACTAAAATGTTTCAAAACTTGATAAAAGAGCATTTGTTCCTGAATGAGATTAATGAACTGTTTCGTCCCGGCCTGTTCAGCATTGATCGAATGTGTCGTTTAAAAAATTCAAATTATTTTTCGAACGTAAGCGAAGCCCTTGGGCTTCTAATACACATTCCACATCGCTTCCTTCAGAGGGGGCTTCTAATACGGAGGCTTCTGTTATGCGGAGGGGGGTTTATTTGGAATCAGCGCAAAAACTGCATCAACTGATGTACAATAAGAGAGGTTTTAGACCCTAAAACGACAGATTTTACACAATCCTGCGGTTGAAGACATTGTTCACGAAGTTTTCTACTGTGTATTCGGACATCAGTTGTAACATCAGGCTCAAGCCTATAAAAAGGTTTCATATAGGTTTTCTGTCCATCGGGAAGTATACCGGCGTCTTGAACCCATTTGCAAAAATGAACAAGAAAACATTTCTCATACAATTTAGAAAAACATCGTAGTAAAGATATAGGTCGTCTATCTTTTTGTAGTAGTTTTCGTAGGAGGTCGCGTATATCTGTCCCTTCTCCGTGCTTTGCATGCGATGACTGTATGAAAAGAAAACAACGTTTATTGAAGCGAAGAAATGGCGTATGAATAGAATAATCGTTGTTGATAATCACGATGAGGTATCCTTGTAGGACCGTGATTAAATAAAGGTTTGAGTGAATGATATTGTTTCAAAGCAGAACTGTTTGGGTAATTTCGACACGTTGAAATTGATAAACTAGCGGTGACAGATTATCGGTAATAAGAAACTGTCGGACATATTTTGGCTGAAGTTTTGGTGGTAGGTGCTTTCAATTTTTTTATTGATTGTGTCCTTGATCGAGAAATCATTCGCTACACCTCGCCTATTCAAGGATACCTCATCGTGATTATCAATAACGATTATTCTATTCATACGCCATTTCGTCCAATGCTTCAAATAGTCATGACTTAGGAAAGGTTGAGACAGCGCCTCAAACAGAGCAAGGAATATTGTAAGCGTATTGAAAACAAAGATAGAACTTTCGTTAGTAGGCTATGAAAAACAAAAACAATGATTCATTCATTTCAACATTGATTTAAATAAAAGTTGTTTTGTTCTCCTTGATCGCCTCCTATCTCAGTTTTATTAAATTACAAACATCATGTTTTAGCCTACTCACTACTAGTAGCTTGATGATGATTGTTTTCCTTCTTCTGGAATTCCGATGATTTGTCGTTCATTCGACTTTAAATGTCTAAAAGTCTCTATACTTGCGAGATGACACATATTTTCCTAACATATCTGAATGGACTTAAATTATTCCACGATTTCTCTGCAACTGAATTAGCAAACGAGAGTCCACCAGTGTTTGAGTAGTTCGAATGAAACGAGAGCCCATAGCTACTCACGGAATACTGATTTAGGCTAGAGCAGTATCCTTGCTCGAAAAATCCTTCGCTAGGCTTCCCCTATACAAAGATACCTCATCGTGACTAGCAACAACGATTATTAATTTTCTAATATTTGATACCATGCGAGATTGCATGTATTATGTAAATTATTATGTAATGCAGTTAAATCAATTCACGGTCTCTCTAGAAGTGACTTAGCCATTGAGAGAGAATATTGTTTGACTAGTGTGAATGTCCGCAACCGATGTCCCAGTCGAGAACTACGTTTTCCGAATGTTTCTTTATCGAAAGTTTAGCTGCTAAAATGCTAAAGTTCGTGACTATTGACAGATTACTGACTTAGACTACGATTGCTTTGGTGCTTTGTTGTCTTTGTGCTTTGATGTTTTGATGCTGTGTCGCTCTGGAGCGAAATCGTACATAATTCTAAAATTGTACGATTACTATATCAAACTGGCGGTATTGGTACCTCAAACTACCAGGACACCAAGGCATCAAAGCAATCGTGTTAGAATTTCGTACGATTTCGCAGTAAAGCACCCAAGCACGAAACCAAAGGTTCAAGAGCAGGTGAAGCCAAAAAGACTAACAAGCAATACCACGCTTTACTCTTTTTCTAGTGGCATCGCACGATTACGAAAAACGAATATGAAATGAAATTGTGAATCCCAATCAAACGATCAGATGGAACAGCATGACAGCAAGAGGAACAAAACTTAATCAATGATGTAAAACACTCTCGATATACATTAGGCATGAAACAATCTGAAGTTAAGGCTTCGTGCTAGAAACTAAGCAGCTCGCTGAGCTCGGTCACCAAGCAGAACGTGTTCGATAATAGGTTGTAGATTTGATAATTTGTCCTCTCTCGAATTTCTTATATGTCTTGTTCCTGTGTCATGTTTGCAAACTTAGATTGGCTATTTTCAAAAGCTGTCATCTATCTTGTAGGCTGCTTAATAAAAGCATACATTTTCGTACGCCTAGAACTTTTTTACTATAGCAAATATGTTGCTTGTCTGCCATTGATCGTATTCAAAACGACTAATTTTAAGAAATTTAATTCTTAATTTTGGATTATAGCAGCCCAGGGCTGGGTAACTCCCTGAGTTTCAACTCCAACTCCACTCCAACTCCGTTTTCAAATTTTTGATCCAACTCCAACTTCGCTCAAAATTTTCCAACTCCAACTCCGTCAACAAAATCTCAACTCCGGTTGCTTCACTTTTGTTAGGAAGCTTTTTCGGTTTTTAGCAGGATTTTCGGAGGGCTGAGCGAATTTCTTAGACTTAGAACTTCTTAGAATGATGGTTAGTGTATAGTGTTTGTTCGTGCTCTTTTTCTAATAATCATGTATTTAGAAATATATAATTAAACAAGGTTTTAGTTATTTTGATTTAATTCTTCGCAATATTACTTATGGTGTAACGAAAGGGGGTATTCAGACGTTATATCGTTTTATCGATTGGCAGCTAACCCAATTTTTATGTATATAACGTCTTTCTTCTATTTCATTAGTTACGCTTATTTTGTCTTATTATACCTCTTACTGTTTTAGCAACCCAAACAGTTGATCAATTAATTAGACTTGACGCCAAAACAGTATTATTATCAAAGTCGGTTTTAATAGTG